AAACTCCCTTCTCTCTTTAGCGTTCCGCCCGCATTATCCTCCCCGGCCCGTCTTACCCTCGCTCTACCTTCTTGAGTTGCAACTAAGCTTTCCATCTTTCCTTAACGCAGTCTCGGGTAATTTGATCCTAGAGATATAACTTTTTACTTGACGGTCAAAGAAATGGTCGTCAGAAAAGGTACAGTCGTAAACAGAACGGCCTTCGATAGATGCTGCGCTACCTGGAGGCTGTTAAAACTATGGAGTGAAGAGGGGGGCTAAAAGAGAGTGCGCGTTAGGGTAACTGTATAGGTTCTGCTTGCAGAGCCAGAGTATCGCGTTCCTTTTCCTTGCGCCGCCGACTCCTTATTGGCGGAGAAGCGGTCACGAGTGCCGAACTGGATCCAAGCTTCACGAGGGAAAGCGACCTTGCAGGCGCCGAGTTTCGAGCGGAGCATGTTTCTCGCTTTGCGTCTCACTTCGGTTATAACGAAGTGCAAAAGGGAATGGGGAATCGTGACTGCTTCGCTGTAGCCGCTATTTCGTTAATACCGACTTCGTTATACCCATTCTCGACAGTAATAGACCCTTTCCGAAATTCAGTGCCATCTGGTGGTTCGTAGAGCAGTTTAGGTTTTGCCATATCAATGGCGGAAACGAACTTGTATCGGCACCGTCACTTTCGTAAATGAACGGCATGCAAAGAATTGTTCAGAGTGAGTTCTTTCTCGATCACTTTCAGTTCGATGGTGACCAAGAACCTGCATTCAGAACAAAGGTCCAACCAACTCAGACGCCTCGAAAAAATTCTATACACCAAAGTGCTTTAAAGCCGATTGTGTGCCGCCCATACATTGACTGAATCTGAGTTATTAGAAATAAACGCTTACGTTGCTCTCGTGTTCCATTCCTACGTCGCGTCGTACTGACTCCCCGAATGTACAGGCCTCGCTTCATCCGCTCAGGAGCATCTTCAACGTCTTCCTTTATCAGTCACTAGAGGGCCGCCATTGGTATGGCACAGATAACGTTCCACAGATGATGATAGTAATCAAAGTGGCCAGACTGAATTTCGGAAAGGGTTTATTGCAAAAACCGAAAGTTCATTAACACGTATTCAATCGATTCAATAGTGCAAAAGTAAGACGGCAAGATGTATATACGTACCAAGCTCTTGAGCTCCGCGTGGCACAGCCTCTTCGCCTCCCGGGCCTGGTGGTCCGCACACTCGCCCATGCTCACCAGCGAAGCGCTCGAACGGCATCAGCTACGAGCCTACATTTCATCTGGCAACAGTGCGCCATCAAAGCCACGGGCGCGCAGGCCGCGCGCATCTTTGGCAGGGGGAAAGCGATTTCAGGATTTCGCTCCTTTACCTGGTACAGCGCTGCACACTGTCGCACTCAAAGCGGGTCAGGGGGTTCGTCAAACGCGCGACAAACGCCATACAGCTCGCAGACGACGGTCTCATTTGACTGCCGTCCCATCCTCGAAAGGACCAACGCAGGGCGATGGGGCTAACTATATCGTTTGCTATTTTGCGTATACAAGAAGCAACAGCGTTTCACGTTGCAAAACAGTCGAATCCCTCAGAGGCACCCCGGAGACAGAGAAGGGACCTAGTGCTCTAAGCTTTTTCCTAAACTCGCCGTTCTGTCATTGACAGCTTTGATTTGCTTCTGCGACAATTTTGGTCTAACACTTAATGTGCTAAGATTTAAAAGGCCAACATGCTAGCATTTTTCAATAGAGCGAGAACCAGCACATTGTCGTTCACTCTGTCGCGTAATTCACTCGCATTAACAATCTAAAAAAAAACTTTTTATGCGAGAGCTCTTGTTTTTCGACGATTTTTATAGCAGCCCCACAAAACATACTTATATTTAAAGGCATTTGTTGACGGCTAGAAGCCCGCGCTCATAGCATTATCTTCGGATACTTTCACCGAGCGAGAGTTCCTGCAGCAAAAAGGCGTGTCCTTGAGCGAAGATCCCTGTGGTCTATTAGTGGTATTGTCGTACAGGTGTTTACGTGAGAAAGAGAGGCAAATATTTACACGCAGAAATACTCGGTCCAAAATGAAATAGCAAAATGTCTTCTATCGGTAGAGCTTTTTTTCGAACGGAAATGAACCGACAGTGTGAAACTTATTTATGGCGCATGCAGCACACATGGGAACGGGAGCTCACAGCCGAGGGATCCTTGTGGGCCACGTCCCAAAAAAATCGCGGTTCGCGTGTTTGAAACCCCTGCCCTAGATGCACGCTCCTAGCAAACTTTTTGTTTTTACGCTCGAAAGTCAGCAACTTGTCCACAGACGGTATTAGTACGGACAATGCTCAGATCATCAAAAGGTTTCCTTCCTTTCCACCGTGTTTCCCGTCCACAATTAAAGCGGCGCGTTTGGAACCTTAGCCCTTATGCAAATTAGGAACGTCCATTTATGATCGGATTCTATTATCAAAAAGTACACGTTTCAAACGCATTCTTCTTTTCTTTTTTTTTTTTTCTAACAACCAGATTCGGCAAGAACTGCTTAGCGTAGCGAAAGAAAAATCTTTCTCGCAAAACTCACTTTTTTGTTTTCTTTCTTGAGATGACAGTTCAAGCTGTACCTAAAGTATAGGTTCACGTTCTTTGTATCCTGAATTGCCACGACATAAAACAAACTGACACGGTGGTACCCTGATGACGAGCGCCGCCAAGTCGTCTTCTGATTGGCCAGCCATGTGGAGCTTTTCTTTTCACCCAGCCAATCAGAGACTTAGAAACGCTCGCTGCGGATATCACCATACGAGGAAAGACAATCGGCAATATTTACCTACATTATAAAGCTCCCTGTATCAAACTATAGCTGCTCCCCAAAAAGAAAAAGAAAAGTCCAAAACAAAAAGAGAAAAAAAATGCGTCCTAGAAAAATAAATAATAAATAAAATCTGCATTAAATGCACCTTGGAACATTTAATGTAGTATGTTTTGTTGTTATTACTGAGTTCATTATCGGGAAATAATTACGTTAGTTTTCACAATATTTCGATACTATGAATTTCGACTTTGTATAAAGTATAAACAGGAATGTCGTGAAATGAATACCTTTTTTTTTTATTATTTTTGGCATCGTTTAGAAACAAACTTATAACATGCTCCACTCGTCACTCGGACCTCTGCATAGCAGAGGCATCATGCGCTGATTATGGCCTTCGGATGATTAAAACTACCTTGCCGACATCATTAAACAGACTCGTGTGCTACACATTTTATATAGAATCTTGTAGCGCACAGTACACAAAATTAACGCGAAGTACGAACACACGAAGATGGAGTAGACAGGATAAAGCGTTCTGTCCTCTCTACTTTTTCTTCCCGTGTTCGTCCTTCGCGCTAATTTTGTGTACTGCGTTAAACCAACTAAACTTTAACCCTGCCGGCTGCACATTTGGAGGTTAGCTGCCTCTGGAAAATAAATATACGCGTGTTGAAAGTCGGAAGATGTGCTGTCCGTGCTCTGTCCTTTATATGTAACTCTTTCGTAAAAGAATTGCATGCAATACAAAAACAGTGCAAATACCCGTTCTTCTTAATATGCTGGAGAATGTACATGAGCCCTTTTCCCATATACGAAAGTGACGTTAAAAAGTTCCTTGTTGATAACAATATTATTTCAAATCGCTAGTGTCGTGATACTTCTAGTGCATATGATTGATTTACATGTTTATTCAATTATACGAGCTGTTTTTAAAAACGCGAGCCACATCGCTCCGGCGAAAACTATCGCATCGCCAACAAAAAAGGTTGATGCCGTAGTGATCTGTGCGAGAGGGCCCATTAAGGAAAATGATTAGCGTTCAGTTTAATTGGGTAGTTAATTACAATTTAGTAATTACATTTTTAAATATTAACTTTAAGGGTACGGTTTGAACCAGAAACGATGCGAATCATCCAAAACTACTGAATCCACCCAGATTACAAATGATGTACGATTCCGTGTTTTCTGATGTTGATCGACGAGCACCAGTCACTTAGCTGTGTTTGGAGATTTGTGTTTGTCCTTTGTCCTCCTGCTCCCGTTCTCCGGGGATCATTATCGTCATCCGTGTCTTCGGAGTTTATTTCTCGTGAAGTTCGGAGGGTGCCGGAGTTCACATTTCTCCGAAAATTCGACGTTTATCAAAATTTATTTTTCTTAGATTCCCAATTATCTGAAATTCGGAAGTCAGGGTATCACGACCAGGTTGTTGCTAAAAGGCAGATCCCTTCAGTCAGTAGTTCGAGATAGTAAAGCAAAACTGAAGTGGCATCTCTTCAGAACACCTGACCCTGTGCTCTTATAAAGTTTATTTGCAAAACACCGTCTTTTTTTTTTTTTTCCTTTTTACTTTGTCGGTGTGACCTCGAAATTCTGAGTTTTTCGGGAAAAAATCCACATATACGAAAAAAATGTACCGACGAGTGTTTCTCGGATGTTGCTTTACGATTTATCCGAAAATATTCCCAATGTAGACGCGTTTCTAAGTTTCGGTTTCTTATCGGGGCGCATGCCCGTGCCAGCAATTGCACGTCTCGTATTTGTTATTATTCGATTACTGTTGGTTATTGTTTTATTGTTTATGTACAGCTGCTGAATTGCAAAGGGCGAAAAAAACTGATAAGGCAGAAATGTATTTTTTTTTTTTTTTTTCCTATTGCGCCCTGTCGGCCTGCAAAACCAAAAGGACCCAAAAACCGGCATTTGTGTTCGATTATGTAGATGGTTGAGCGTGTTGGTTGCTAATTTACGATAAGGAAAGATGGACATTGACGACAAAAACACACAAGCTTTGTGTTCAATGTCCATCTTTCCTCATCGTAAAGTGTTCGATTACCTTGCGTCAAGGCTTGAAGACCCTTATATACCCTGGAAAGCAAAAGGCTAGACAAATTCAGAAATCCGGCGCTCCGTAAGTTGGCGATCTTTTGTCGTGCATCCGAAGTAAAAGAAAGAAAAAAAAAAGAGAGAAAAAAAAAAGGCGGGTGAGGCTTACTGCGACGCCACGAGGGGGCTGATGTTCTTGGTGACCTTGCGCTTTTCTCGGAGCTTGGACTTGACGTCGAGCTGGCCGAGCACCTCGCTGAACTCCGGGTTCTCCACACGCAGGTTGCGCAGCTGCCGATCGCTCGTCGTCTGCATGGCGCAAAATAGACATTCGGGAAAATACCCCCGCGCTTTGCCTCAAGGTTGCTTCGGCGCACATTAATTGACTCAACGACTAAACCAAATTACGACTAACAATATTTATTTTTGCGCAATTAGTTTCACTTTTGGTCTGAGAACTGTGCAACACTGAAAACGTGACGTCAAGTGTTGCCGGAACAGTTTGTTCACGACGGGTTACAAAAAGTTCGATGGTGTAAAACGAATGCACGAAGCCAACAAAATGAAACGCGTAAAAATAGCTTGTTTTCAGACTGCCTGCTCGACTTTCAAGTCATTTTTCTTACGCCACCCTGCTGGAGAACGTATTTGAATGTTGCAGTGATGTGATTGGCCTAAGCCGTTTTGGAGCACCTTTTGGAGCAGCCAAAACAGTGTTTTGGAGCAGCATAAGTGGCCTTTGGAGCAGCCAAAACAGTGTTTTGGAGCAGCAAACGCGGCTTTTGGAGCAGCTAAAACAGTGTTTCGGAGCAGCAAAAGTGGCTTTTGAAGCATATATTCTTAGAAAAAATAAAAATAATCATTTTAAGTGTTGGACAGACGAAAAACACTTTGCTCGCCGCAATCAACAAATTATAGTCAAGTTAGACCACCTGGGAGTCTTTCAACATGTAACTGAAATGCCTTTGACATGACACATTTTGCAATGCTTCAGTTAAATTATACAGATTTATGTACGCACTATAGTTAAATAAGAACCAAACTGCACATATTAAAATTTATTTGAAAACGACCAGCTTAGTAGTAAATAGCACAGTATTAGGTAGACTAGTTATATAATAAATGGAATAAGTCTCCAACTGATTAAACATGTACTATCGGGGAAAAATGAAACGCGAACAGAGGAGCGCGAGGCTCGCGGTACAGGCTGCGCCGCCTGGAAGTGAGCCTAGGAGCGAGGGTGCGTGGCCTACTCCGACGTGTTCACGCCCCTCCCTCTTCGCTCCCCAAGCTTCAGCAGTGCGCCTCTTAGTGCGCTGAAAGCTATCACCGCTATCTTTGCTGGCTCAGCGCGTGCGGTGCAAAGAAGCTCGCCGCACTCGCCGAGCAGGCAAAGATAGCGGTGCCAGCTTTCAGCGCACTGAGAGGCGCACTGCCGAAGCTGGGGGAGCGCCAATCGAGGAGCGTGAACACATCGAAGTAGGCCACGCACCCTCGCTCCTAGGCTCACTTCCAGGTGGCGCAGCCTGTACCGCGAGCCACGCGCTCCTCTGTTCGCATTTCATTTTTCCCCGATAGTACCTACTACAATGCAATGCAAAATTGTCGCGCGAGCGGAGATGGCTGTTCTATCGAAACCATGCCACTCTGCTCCGTCGCCAACTGGTTCCCAAAATTGTTTGCAAAATGTAACGGTCCAGCATACGACAAAAAACAGTCCAGCGCTTGCCTGGCCATCAGGCGAGGTACAAGCTAAACACACAGAGAAAAAAAAGAAAAAGAACCTGAGCACATCGATGCAAGACATCGCGAGCCAGGATCAAAACGTTCTTCCGAACTCAAGGCAAACAAGTGCGCTGTGCGGGTTCAGAGTGCAGACATTGCCTTCTTTACTTTAGCTCACTTCTCTCCACCAAATTTCTTTCGCGGCAGATTTTTCACGTACCAGGGTCCATCCTGAAAGAAGGCTCACCGAGAAAAACCTAGGCAATCAATACTTCGACACATCAGTCTTTGAGTTAGAGGTAGATTTTTGTAGTAACGCGTGATTTAAACGAGAACAGGAATGTTGATGAGCTTTTGGCGGTACTTAGTTTTTTTTTAAAAAGCGCCATATCTGCAGCGACGTGCGGACGGCAACACCCGACGTCGCGCGACCGCGGTGACTGGCCAGGCAGGGACCAAATATAGTATTCCCACGGCTGTTGCTTTCTGGAGCGAGTGCTCCAGCTCACAAAACAACTCCCGCCGCACAGAAACATAATTTCGTTTCAAAGCATGATGGCATGGCTGGTACTCGGCACGCTAGTCTCGGAGCGTCTGCACACAAACACGTCTATCGCAAAAAAAAAAAATAATAATAAAAAAATAAAGAAAACGCGAGACAACGAGAACGCGAAACGAGAGACGGCGGGAAAAACCACGCAAGACCGGATGAACGATTGATGCAGGGTACTTTGTGTCGGGCGACCGCTTGCGCCACCTAGCTCACACGTGCTCATTTACGGTACTCAGCTTAGTTTCGGATTTGAAAGGCGACCAAAATTGATCCTTTGGCGCAGGCTTGGCGCAGATTACTCATATTTTGGCAAAATGTAGCAGGATGTAGCAGGGTTAACCCCTTGGCGCAGTTTGGCGCAATTGGCGCAGCAATCACATCACTGATGTTGAGACGTCGTCCTGTTTATTTTCTGTCCTTTCTACGTTTTGATGTCTCTTCTCTACCCCAGTCTCAGGTTAATTCAACATGGTTGAATGTTGTTTTTGACATGACCTCCATTTCTCACGAGCCATTTTGAATTTGAAGAAAATAAAAAAGCATGCTGGAAGGTAATCCGAAAATGCCTTTGGGTGGCTCAAAAAAGCGCCCGAGCTCGGGGAGCGAAAGCTCGCGCTACACAACCCCCAGACTAGCGCTGCCGCTGCTCTCATCACTGCGGCCACACTGCAGGTGCCCACTCCCGCCGTCTCGACATACACAACACACAATTAGAAATCTCCTATAGACGCTTTACAGCAGCTGTTCATGGGCGCCGCCATAACTGACCTTCAGTTTTTGTTTCCTCTTATATTTTTCACTTCGCTCCATCATTACCACAGGAGGACAGGTTACTGGCATTTTAGATACGACGGTGTCTTTTTCCCCAGCATTCGCCTTTGTGGAGGCTCGCCAAAGCCCGCTTCAGTGGTTTGATATCTCGGTAAGACAATAGAAGGTCGGCAATGGCGTCTGTAATCTGGCGCGTGTGTAAAGCGTCTATATCTGCAGAGGCTGAAAGCATACGAACCTTAAACTTTAGTTTCTTGCAAAACAGTTAGCATATAGCTCAATGTTCCTCCCAAAACAGGATTTACATATACAGGGAATTATGTTTTAATAAAAATTTAAAAAAAAAAAAAAAAAAAAAACGATCACACTGTTAGCTGAATACCGTTTTCGCCAGGTGTTTCTCTCGAGTTCGGCGGATATTATAAGAGCAGAGAACCGCCACAGTGTGTTCGGTAATTAAATAAAATTCGTTACTTAATGATCGAAAATAAACGTATGGTTTCAATGAGAAACTTGCGAAGCGTCATCGGAAAACCCCCACATGGACATGGACTAGGGTGGCCCAAAGTTCGTGCAACAGGCACAGGCTAGCAGTGCGTCAACGCCGACGCGAGTTTCCGTAGCCCCCTACGAGATCCCGGACTCTGTATGCAGGGCTAGAGCCGCGCATGCGCAGTTGTAAAGTCTAAAAAGGGTCTACGAAAACTCCCTAATCACGTTATCTGCGTTCACGCACCGCGAACCTTCAGCCTGTTGCTCGAGTGGTAGCTTTGGCGCATCCCAGTGCTTTTCACCTGCTTCGGGTCCATCCTAAGTATGATTTAGGGGCTTTCGATGAGGCTATGTTTCTAGTTGGGACCATGCGTTTCTTCACACTCATCTAAAAGCTAATTACAAACTGAGGAATAACCCTTTATGTCTTCCTGGCCGTATAACTTACTTGCATTAAACGCAGTACTGAACCGTTTACGAATTTTTTGAAACGTAAATCTGTACGAATTAAAATCAAACACCCTGCGCATCTTTATATAAATATAATAAACGTAACCCAAACCATGATTGCATGAACTCGTGTGAAATCACTATTAAAGAAACACTCGACCGGCCAAACTTGCTCAACACCACCCACAACGTGTACACCCGCTTGGACGATCCGCAAGATTTTGTTTCCCAACCCATCGCGCTGCGATTTACTGCAGAGGTGAGGCTAGGTGGTGGAAGTCTGGAGTAGAAGCACTAAATGAGCTGTGCTTAAGATATCTGCACCCCGTTGCTCCCCACTGTTGCGGGCGTCGCCATTTTAATGCTTCTGCAGAGCAGACGCTTGCTGCCGATCGTCATGATTCAAAAGTGCGACTACTTCAGCATTAGATTTGGTGTTGGGAAGCTCATGTAATATTGCTTTGCTCTGTCGCGAACTGTTTAAACATTTGTGGAGGACGAAAAAGCGTTTCCTGTGATTTCAGATAAAGCTTTAGATAACTGGCAACCATGATTTTAAGCCACAACATGGCGAAATGTCGTTACTCTCAAGCGTAGCTTATTTAGTGGCACTACTTTGGAGTGGAAATATGAACGGATGAACTCGGCTCGTTTAAAAGAGAAGAAAGAAGAACCTGAGGCCAGATTCACGAAGAGCCTCTTCGGTTACGACAACTTAGCTAAGAAGTTCGCAAGTTAAGAACATCGTACGGCAAACTAGAACTTCCGGTGTCCCGCAAGCTCCCGATAAACCGCGAGAGCGGGCTGTTGCTGTGGCGGTGGCGTCTTCGGGAACGCGAACAACCGATCGGAGAGCTCGACATCGTTCGGAGTACGTGCATTTTGAATAACAAACACAGGGGGCCTTTCCGCCAACGCTGGGGTTCGTGTCCGTGCAGTGAAATGTCGACGCGAGACGACTTAAACGGGCCCGAATGCCGAGGCCATGGGATAACCACCTTCGTCGACTGCTACGAACTCGATCGCGACGAAGTCCACAGATCCACACAACTGTCATCACTGCTAAAAAAAAAAAAAAAAAAAAAAAAAAGATGGCTTGCGCGGCGTTTGCAAAGCGGCGTAAATATAAACAAATCGACGCGGCGTTTTTCCCGGCCTCGGGGATGCAGGAGCGAGCCGACGTCCAAGAAGATACGTTTGTACGTACTAGCCTCTTCCATATTGACAATGCCTGGCAGATCGCCACGAGACGCGGCCGCCAAAATCGAAAAGGTAGAGCGGCAGACAACGGATGAAAAGAGAGCCAGGTGACGGGCGC